GTAGGTGGGCTGGCCCAAATCGAGGTCCATGTACTATTGTTGGGAAACTGGGAGCTTGTGTTTTTCTCCCCTGGCAGATCCTATCACTGGTTCCAGTCAAATATCTCGCTGCGGTTACCATGATCAGACTCCCCCCTACACCTGTAGCCGTTCTGACTTGTGAGTTTCCAGTGCTAGGCCTTGGTACAAATGGACAGAGATCTCAGTTCAACTTTTGGAAGGTATCCTGGCCCTCTTAGCGTTGACCTTCCTGTCTGATAGCCTGTCAGTTCAGAATTAATTGCAGAGCATGACTTGGTTTTATGTTAGCAATTAACCTTCACATACTAATTGGCCTCTATTTCAAACAGGTCTGTTATTTTTGATGCTCCACAGCAACCTGTGCTGTGAATCCTATTGGGTCGCCAAGGTCAGGCTAGAGAGTAGGGGGTCAGGAGACCTCTACTGAACATCCAGGCCAGTGGTTTTCAGCCTGTTTTGTACCAGGACCCACTTGTAAACATAAATGGCCAGTCCTGACCCAGTGCCCCTTACCCCCAACCCCGCAATGTGTGGGGCAGGGGGTGGGTGTGTGAGGCATGGGGGAGCCCCAAGCAGCCCTTCACAGGCTGAAACTGCCAGCCTGCAGGGGAAAATGCATGCTTTCCCACGTTTTTCTCCTTTAAAGGAGAATCCATTTTTAAAGTTCATTCGCAACCCTTTCGTATATTCTTATGACCCACTTTTGGGTCACGACCCATAGGCTGAGAAACACTGATCTAGACCATCTGAGTGGCTGGGGCTGGTTTGATGAAGCCCACAGAATAGCAGTCTAGAAAGGGTTAATGGAGGGGCTCATTATCTGCCCAGCTGTGACCAAGGAGCCAATTAGAAAGAACTGCTATAAGGGGGCAGCAGGTTAAGGACACAAATTGCCTTGGAGATGCTGGGGGTAGAGTACTGTGGGGGGGACATGCTGATAAGCCGGGTAGGTAGGAGGCAGCCCAAGGAAGTGGTGAGGGATCAGAAGGAATAGGCTTACTGCGCTCCTCTGTGCCACCTTCCCTGCAGGAGGAGACAGCCTGGAACTGAAAGGAGGAACTGGTGGGTCTGGGGAGAGGCCCAGGGCTGATCCCTTGGGTGGGAGTTTGACCTTCGTGACGCCTGAGAAGTGAGACCTAAAGGGCAGAAACAAACCCAGGCTACACGAGCGCTTGGATACCAAGCCTAGCCACAGGTGGGTGCCCCAAACAGCGACAGGCAGGGACACTGGGCAAAATGTAAAAGCAAAGTCCTGACTATCGTGGGTCATTAGAGATCCCCAGGCAATTTCCAGGAGAACAAGAGGGGTCAGACCCGCTGCCCTAACCCAGTTCCAGCTGGAAGTTTGTTAGATGCAGTCCTTCACTTCTTGCCCTAAATTATTGCAGTTCATTCTAGAAGTAGCCACATTTTAGTGATGGGTCACTGCACAGCTAGTCTGGTCTTGTAGTCAAGACTGAAGCTCCTGCTGCCACGTGGCTGAGGGCAAGTGAAACTCGGGGGCATCATGCAGGCTTGGGCCTGCATGTAGGATGTCTGCCAAAAGATCTGGAACTATTTGAAGCCCCAGGCTGAAAAGTTTGGGGTGGAGGATACTTGCTGGTAGTAGGGCCACATATGGTTCTTGAATGACTCATAGGATTTGGAACTGATCCGGCTAATTTGACCTGGGACATGAAAAAATTTCCTTAATAAAAAAAAAAAAAGTGTCTCCATTTTTGGCTCTGATTGCAGGATCAGAGCTGAGGTTTGTGAAAACCCTTTGCAATCCTGTTTGCTGAAGGAGAATCCTCTGGACAAACTGTCTGATTTTTTGCAGAAGGCTTGGTGAACTCATGGCAGATGCTGGGTCTTTCCCCACTACCAAACCTCTTCCTCACATATTCATCAGCTGACCTTTTCAGACACTTCTTCTGTAGCAGGGTAGGACTGAAACCTACACTTTGCTTGCAGTACCAAGGCCTAATAGATGCTGCAATACAAAGAGCCACGTGCAAAGGAAGATTGTGATTTATAATCCCAAGGCTTCCTCAAAGTCAGGGGTGTTTAGGATGTGGCCTGCAGGCTGGATCTGGCTAATGGAACTGCTGTCCCCAGGCTCCTGGGTCACTGGAAGTTGGGGGTCTTGGCCAGGTGGAAGTGGCCTGCCACTGAACCCACAGCCCCTTTGCCCTGATGGACACAATGATCGGTAGCAGGAGGGCATTCTGCAGCTGCTTCACCTATCGCCACTGCCATGGCCGTACCTCAACAGCCACAGGCTCCATGCTGGAGCCATTGCTACATGCTCTGTGCCAGAGTTAGAGCTACCACTGCAGCATGGGACATGCAGTAGGGCTGCGCGAAGCTTCGGTAGCCAATTCGATCCTGCACCCCCTGCCTCAGCAGGGCAAGTGGCAGCAGGGCATAGCTGCTTTGCACAGGCCTAACATGCAGTGAGAGCTCTAGCTCCAGCATGTGGCATGCAGCAGGAGCCAAAGCTGTGCTGCATGCCCTGTGCCAGTCAGAGCTAAAGCTGCCATTGCTGCATGCCCTGGTCAGAGCCAGAGTTGCTGCTGCCAATGCATACCTCAAGCTGGATCCACCCCAGAAGGATCCCCACAGTCCAGATCTAGCCTGGCCCGCAAGGTGAGTTTGACACCCTTAGCTCTGTGTTCCTCAGAAGCCTTTCCATAGTCCATCTCCACCACTGCAATCTACAGCTCCACATTCTGTATAGCAATTACTGTTTTACAAGCCAGGGTTTCCAGGATGTGCAATGGGAGAAGCAGCAGTCTAAATTAAGAGGCTCTCTAAAGCTTGGAAGATAGTAATTTGCCTGTAACAAAACTGCTAATTAGAATCTTGTTAATTTCCTTTCAATGACAGTAATAGCACAGCACTAACTCATACATGCACTCCCTGGAGATCCTTCTGTTGAAGGAAGACCTAGCCTTACCGCTGTTGAAGATGATCCTCAGAGGAGGGACAGGTTTCCAACTCTGCAGGATTAATTTTTCTAATGTGTGCGAGAGGCTCCTTGAGTTTACCTGGAGTGGGGGGCTTATGTTCACATGACACCTGCTTTGGAGGGGTTCTGTCATCACATCCAAAACCTCTTAATGATCAAACTTTGCTGAGGAAGACTAAGGTGCAGTTCTCTGACATCCAACCCATTCACTTGCTTCTTGAAACAAAAAAACCCCCAACAAATAAAGTCCCTTTTTCCTAGGTTGGTTCCCCCCACCCCTTTGATATGACTTTTGTTCTCTTGTTTAAGTTTTTCTGTCTACTTGTATTTATGTTGAGGTTTGGGTGTTTTCTAATTAATGAGAAACTTTTCATGCTTGTGATTCATAGCTTTTGCAGGGGGCAGATCATTAGAAATAAAATTACCATTTACTGCTTCGGAAAGCTGCCAGATTGATGGAAAAGTCCGAAACAAGATCCCCTCTAGTTACCTGTCTTGATCCTAACCCGAAACCATCAGCTGAAAAAATGTATTTATGTATTCTTGTGTCTGGCTCAGATCTTCAGCCTCTTCTGTTAGACTGGCAAAGATGCATTGGTTTGTGACTCCTGATCTAGATACATGCCTATACCATGATTTTATTCCTTAGAAAACCACTGAGGAGCCCTTTAGAGACTGGTTTGTCTGGATAGGAACCTGTGATCAGGTGGTGAGAGAGCTTATTTTCAGGCCCTGAGTGCCAGTTGCTTCCCTTGCCTCTGTTTTCGTTCGAACTTCAACACCTGAGAGAGAAAATTCCCTGCTCAGTTTTTTTTGAGTGAGATTTTAGCATGTAGCGCTCAGTCCACTACTACCCACCTTCCTCTACGGCAGCGGTTCCCAAACTCTGGCAGATTGCACACCACCAGTTTGCCAAAGTCAAGGACAGCCTCCCCCTGGATCTGCTTTGTTCTTATCCTCTCCTCCTCATACTGAAGCGCTGCGAGCGCCACATCCTTAAGGTTGAACTTTAAATTTAAAACGATACAACCTTAAGGTTGAACTTAAACATTTGCTTAATTTAAACATGATAAGTTTTGTCATATAAAGTAACTACAGGCAATCCTCAGACTTATGACACAATTGGTTCCTGAAAACCCCTGTCTTAAGTCGAAACGCTGTCGCTCGGAGGGACGGATTTTCCCCTGGGCAGCAATGTTACGAATGTGGGATTGGTTCTTGAGCCAAGGCCAGACACCCTATTTTCCCCCAAAATAACCCAGTGTTTTGTACTCAATCCATGATAGATGAGTAATATAGCTACATTAATGTCTTTATATTGTAAATAGCAATCATATTGATTTGGAAGGACTTCTTTGAGGAGACTTTGCTGGACATTTTGAAGGGCTCTTGGCTGGCATCTTCTCGGGAGTCTCAGCTGCAGGTTTTCTGGAGTCTCGTGGGCTTTCTTAAAGAAAGCGTCCAAGGAAGTTTGGACAGACGCTTTCCAGAGAGACGGGCGACGCAGTGCACTTGCGCGGTGGCGTGACATGGCGTCAGATCAAGAGCTATAAAGTTGAAGCGGGGTGTCCATTTATAAACGTAAGGGCAAAAGGTGGCAAGTCGAGGACTGCCTGTGCAAGACATCTGTTAGCACGTCCCACCGGTGGGACCCGGGCCGCGGACGGGAGGGAGGAGGGATGGGCGACTCCTGTCTATTCCCAAACAGCAGCTGGCTTCCTTCCTCCACCTGTTTAATGGCTGGGGCTGGAAGGAGCGAGTCCTCCCCGCGCCCACGCTGCGCGGTGCAGCCCGCGCGCGCACGTGCCGCGTTTGCAGCGCTGCAGCGCCGCCCGGAAAGTTATTT